TTCTTGGGGGAGCTTGTTAAAATGCAGATTCTGATTCATTATGGGAGACCTGAAAATCACATTTCTGATCAGCTCCTAGTCTTGCATCTGCTACTGGTCCAAGGACTATACTTTTTTGAATAGCAAGGTTCAGGTCTCTCAACTCTAAAGGTCTTATTCTAGTCTGCCTTCTGCTGGACTAGCACTTCTTCCTTCCCTCCTGTTCCCATCAGCCACTCTGGCTTTCATGAAGAAGAGTTCTTCATATGTAGCATTGTGAGGCTGCACTGTTTCTTGGTTCACCTCCCTTAAAGGCCTAGTCTTCCCATATTGCTGGACTGTGTGAATCTTCCTCCCTCAGGACTCTGGTTTTCCAGGGAAGATTCTTCCCCCTCTCTTCCCTTTGGCTGACCTTGTTTCTCAGCTTACTTTCTATTCCTTAGTGAGTTTCCATGAACACCTGGATAGGTAAGTGGCAGCCTGCTTCCCACTCAATCCAACGTACATTGAAGAGTTTCCACTGGACTCAGCACATCACCTTCTACATGGAAAATTACAGTTTAAGCAAAATACTCTTCATTATCCATTCCTTTCTCCCATCAAAAATTTTGGTCTGGTGGATCTTTGGCAAGTATCCCATTCTTCAAGTAAAAATAACTCAAGGTAATTTTGGAAAAGACTCTTGGATTTCATTACAGCTTTATTCCATTTTAAACATAGTTTCTATAATGAGAATTTAATTCAAATTGAAGCTAATAAAGGTAATCCTACTGCATAAACCAAAAAACCGAACTCATTGCCATTGAGTCATTTCTGACTCACAGTGATCCTATAGGGCAGAGTAGAACTGCCCCATAGGGCTTCCAAGGCTGTAATCTTAAGAAGGCACACTGCCATATCTTCTCCTGTAGAGTGGCTGGTGGATTCAAATTGTTGACGTTTTGGTTAGCAGCTGATTCTTAACCACTGTACCACCAGGGGTCCTTATCTTACTGTCTGGCCAGTCTTGTGAGGCCTTAAACTTATGTAATTTTGAAGTCATTTTAAAGAAAAAAAATTATGAGTACAAAATGCTCGCAGGTCCTCTGGGAAGGCCTATGTATGTGACAGGGTTAGCACGTGGGCATCTGGTAATTTTCAAAGAACTGAAAAAAAGAAACTCTCTATTCACCTGGTTCTGTAACTTTATAATACCACAAGAGGGCAGTACAGTATCAACTGTGGCAAGCTACTTACTATCTCTTTCCAATGGGATTCTCAGCTGGTCAGGTTTTAAGACTCTCAGCAGAATGTTTGCAACCCACTCTTTCAATTGCATCCTGTGCTCTGCAACTTGAGTCTCTGTGTGACTTTTTCTGTCAAGACAACCTTATTGCTCTCTCACAAAACTTTGAAATATCACAGGAATCTGCAACACGTTCAAGGTACAATAAGAAACTGTAAGGTGACATAGTTTGCTCCTTAAACTTTCTTATAAACTTTCTCCCCTTCAGTTTTATGGAACTTTCAAATTGCATTTATTATAAAGCAAAAAGAAAGTACTTCACATTAACTTCTCCCACAAGTGATTTTAATACACTTTTGGTTTTACTAATGGTTTCAACCATAGCAAACTTTATTTACATTGATCTTCTTACCACACAGTAACCATACTCCCTCATCCCCCATATTTGACAGCATTTTCAAAATCTAACATTTGTTTCATATAGTGATTAAGGACATACTTGTATGGCACAAAGTAAAGGGGTATGCTGGCCCGGGACCCATTTGTGTCATGTAGATCGTCAAAGAGAGACCCTTCCTTTTTCCCATCCCCAAAATCAGTTTGGGTTTTTGATTCCATTAATAGACACCATTTAGGTACTGGCAACTTCTCCACTGGAGTTTGGTATTAAAGACAACCAACCAGGGCTTGTGTGTTAATATCACCCTCTAATGTGTGTGAGAATGCTCTTAGGGGCAGAGGATCTCTCTTTTTTGTGTGTGTGTGAGTTGTCCTCAGAATGCAAATAGGATTTTGTTTATTTAAAAAGCTTGAATATATTTACCACACTTCATAGCCACTTTGTAAACGTTATCAAAGATGGCATTTTACAGGGATATACTGAAGAGTCAATAAAGGAAAAAATCATCAAAGTTGAACATTTTTCACTGTGTTAGAGTTGAAAATATGTCAGTAAGGAGAATACTGCCCCATCAGAAAACCAAGATGCTAAATATAAGTGATTATGAAGTCGCTCCTCCTCCTGTATTTGTGGTAAACATGATGCAAACGGCCTTCAAAATTCTACTTCATAAGTGAAAATGTAAAGTTTATGGCTGGCTTATGCCATAATCTACCACATACGTTAGATGCAGGCCACTTACTGGTGGAACCTTAGTTAGAAAACAGCAATTCTTTGATGAATAAAACTGCTGGAGAGGTGAAGACTTTACAATACCTGTGAATGTAAAAAATAAAATCAGCATCATAGGCATGTAGCTTTCTTGCTGCATATCTAATTTTAAAAATCCAATTAACACCCAGAATAGCTCTGGAAAGGATGTTGCAAAATATTACTACTGTGAAACTGTTCTTAAAAAGCTTCTTACATAAGATCCGTTGAAGAAGCAGTTTCCATCTAAAAGTTAAAAAAAAATTTTTTTTTTTAAACCACTCTAGACTTCTATTAGGAAAAGTAAAGAGAACAAACATCATAACAGGATGCAGAAAACAAGTCCTCCCTCCCACCCCACCATGATTGATGCCTCTGCCATTAGCAGGGTAGCTGCCCATTTCTTATCTTGATTGACAGGTTAATAAGGAACCTGGGGCTATCTTTTCAGTATGAACACACAATCTTACCAATTACTTTTAAATTATTGCTAATCTATCAGAAAATAACAAGCATAAGGAATAAAAATATCTGAAAAAGTGGAAATATCTGCTGAAGCATCTTTTGCTTCCGGTGCTTTAAAAGACTCGGTTCAGAAAACTTGCCAGAATTGAGTCAATAGAATTTAGGCATTGAGGATTTTTTTTTTTTATAAGAAAAACTTGTAGTTTATAATAGTTCATTGGTTCAATTAGGAGCGAAAAAGAAGGGAGTTTTGTAATGCAATTGTCCAGCAAAGGAAAATGCTTTAAATTGGGGGATTATGTGAGCAGACCACCTGTAGGGCATTCATAGTCCTTTTCTATAATGCTTCAACTCATGCCTAGCTGCCTGCAGGCTGGCTAACAAAGCTGGGGAAAGCTGTTTAAAAGGCTGAGCACACTTGGGCTTCTGGTCTTCACTAACTGTTACAAGTCTTCCTCTCTCGCTCCCTCTCCCTCGTTCTCTCTCCTTTTTAAAGTAAAAGTCCCACATCCCTTTAATTGAAGAACTTTAAGGCTCCATGGTGGCCAATTGGTCTGCAACAAGAGGAACCGGGCAGCAGGGAAAGAAACTTCAGACTATACATCACATTTGGAGAGGAGAAAAGATCAAAGTTTTTCAAACTCAAAAGACCAAGTTCCCTACAGATTAACCCTATTCATTTAGCTCCTCTTAAAGGAATGATGGGCTGAGCCACTGGGCAGACAGGTAAAAAGTTCAACAATTGCCAAAGCATTCTTCTGCTAATTCAACAGCCTTCTGCTCAAATAAATTAGCTTAGTCTTGACAGAGGAACAATAGCTTTTTCTGTAGGAAAAGCAGCACATTTGATATACACAAGCATGGAAGGTTATTAAGATGTGAACCCGTTAGTTTAATCCATTAAAAAGTGCCTGCTCCTCCGCCAGATTGTTAAGTGACTTATACTGTAAAGTGTGATCTATGGGTTTAAAACATTAACCTTTATACTTCAGCTGTGTGTTCAGTTCCTGGAAAACCAGGTACTTTGGAAATCACAAAAAATCATGGAAATTATGGATGTGGAGTTTTGAAACCTTTCGTGATATTATACAGGATAAATCGCAAGGCATAAGTGGAATTAGTGCCTTGCCAAGTTTCATTTACATACACTAAAGTGAGAGTTGTTATCCATGGATCAAAAGAGAGTTACTATTAAAACATTACCATTAGACACCATCTTTTTTTTTTTTTTTTTTTGGAAGGTGTGAAAACTCAATTTTGATTTCAGTTCAACAATAGTTACCTTGCTAACAAGAATTAGCAGTTAACCAGTAATTTTCTCCATGCCTAAGATTAGTGCATAGAATGACAATCCAGAAAACGTCCATTTTTCCGATGTGCTCTTAGCAAGCATGGTGAAGTTAACAGCTTAGAAGAGGCAGGGGGAGAGGGCAATGGTTAGATCATTTATCAAAAGTCTTTTTATTGACAAAATAGAATACTTATATTTGTTCTTACAGGGGTAGCCTCTAAATTTTTTACAAAAAATGTACAGACTGTATATCTTTGGATATATACATATTTTACATTTTTTTCTTTTTTTCCTTTCTTTTCTTTTTTTTTTCTTTTTTTTACAATTTGACAAATAATTATATAAATACATCCTTTAATGTAAGAAACCCGTATTTACTTGGGGTGTATAATTAAGACATTTCTCGTTTGTTTACTTAAGGCATTGGCCTGGTCATTAAGAATACCCAAACCGTGCAATCCCATTAGGTCGTGGTCATCTCACCTCTAGGATTATGTTAAGAGTAAGAGTTTATGTAGGAGAATCAAGGGAGAAAATTAAGTCCCTCGGGTCAAATTTGTTGATGTTGCTTCAAGCTCAGCAAAGGGCAACCAGTGAGTGCTCCAAACCTTGGGTTTTGGAAACGTAGCAGAGTCCACCCTCTGGTGCCAAGAGAAATCGACGCCTGGCGCTAGGAGCTCCTTGCATATTAATGGAGGATAACGGGCTGGGTCTGGGCGGCTTCAATGCCAGGTACTTTGTTCTAACCAAGTCATTTAAGTCCCAGCTAATGGATACCATTAAGAGTTCATTATCATGCTAATAGCAATCAACACGGTGAAGGGGTGGGAACCTCAGACAGTCAAGTGTCCCTTTGCATTTGGTCTCCTCGACCCTCCCCTCCCCTCAGCTCAGACCTGGGACAATGGCATCTGCTTGGGGTAAGATACGGAGCTGGCCGTGCCAGACCTCCACGTTAGACCGGTGCTAACGTCGCTGTAGAGCGAGCCCCCGCCGCCACCTGGGCCACCACCCCCACCGGGCCCCGTGCCACCGCCCCCGGACCCGCCAGCGCCCCCTACTGCCCCGGCGCCCGCGCTTCCGCCCGCCGCGGCGCCCTTGCTGGCCCAACAGCAACGGGTGCACAGGGCGCGCCACGATTCGAGCGTCTTGCCAGACCAGACCCACACGCCCGAGGTGATGCCCACGACGAGGCACATGAAGTACTTGAGCATGAAGACGGCGTAATCAGGCCGTCGAGCCTGGTCAGGCTGCAAGTCCCGCAGGCACGGGCAATTGTGCGTGGCCTCCCAGCGGGGACGGTTGTGCTGCTCATAGAAGAGGCAGGCGACCACGACGGCGGCGGGAACTGTGTACAGCACGGTGAAAAGGCCCAGGCGGATCATGAGCTTCTCCAGCTTGTGCGTCTTGGTGGGCCCGCCCTGCTGCTTGATGACCGAGCGGATGCGGAAGAGCGACACGAAGCCCGCCAACAGGAACATGGTGCCTATAAAGAGGTAGATGACAAGCGGTGCCAGCACGAAGCCCCGCAGGTTGTCGAGGCTCTGGTTGCCCACGTAGCAGATGCCCGCCACGGGATCGCCGTCCACCGAGCTAAGTGCCAGCACCGCAATGGACTTAACGCTGGGCACGAGCCACGCGGCCAGGTGGAAGTACTGCGAGTAGCCGGCAATGGCCTCGTTGCCCCACTTCATGCCGGCCGCCAGGAACCACGTGAGCGACAGGATCACCCACCAGATGGAACTGGCCATGCCGAAGAAGTACACGAGCAGGAAGACGACGGTACACAGAGCCGGGCCCGTGGTCTCGTAGCGCACGTGCTGCTCCACCGCACCCAGCTCCTCATACTCTCCGCGCCCCCCTGGGCCACCCGTGCCCGCTCCCGCGCCCGCCGCGCCTGCGCCTGCCGCCGCACTGCCCGCAGCCCCCGCGCCGCCAGGGCCCGGCGCGCCGCCGCTGCACGCCACTTTCTCGTGGCCCGCCACTAGGCGTACCAGGTAGCCTACTGACACGAAGAGGTAGCAGGCGGAAAGGAAGATGATGGGCCGCTCGGGATACTTGAAACGCTCCATGTCGATAAGGAAGGTGGAGACGGTGGCGAAGGTGGACACGAAGCAGAGTACCGACCATAAGCCGATCCAGAAGACCGTGAAGGCGCGCTCGTCTTGGCTGAAGAAGGGATTATGGCAGGGCAGCGCGCAGTTAGCGATCTGGCCTGTCTTAACGCGGTTGTACAGTGGGTGCCGCTCACTGGACACGCTCACCATGGGCGCACGGCACTGGCAGCCTGGCTCGCAAGGCGTCGAGCCGCCGCCAGGGGGC